GCGTGGATCAGGGGTCCCACTGAGAAAAATTTTGTCGAATCCCCCAAATTTCATTGTTTATTTACTAAATAGCAACTAAGTAATTTTCAAATATCGTTTAATACATTGAAATATAAAAGAGTTATACATAAAAAAAAAAAAAAAAAATTAATGCATACCACCAATTGCATACTTTCAGCTATTATGGTGCAATACTGTAGCTTCGTCGCCCAGCCACCCAGATTCAGCGCTGATCATCCATTTATCTATTTAATAAGCAAAGGAACTTATCGCCTGCCATTGTTTGTTGGAGATTATGTGAAACCATAGTGATAGTCTCATTAAGTCAACCACAAAGCATTCTCTATTTTCAATTGTTGCATAGAAAAGGACAACAAAGTGTAGTACACAAAAGTGTTCGGGTATTTATTATTCTTTTCAGAAATGTCACTCATGTAGTATAATTATTGCAAATAAAGTAAAAATAAACACACATACATATTTGATTCGGTTACGAAAGGGATTAAGTCAGCATTTTTTTGATACGACAATTTTAATGCAGTTTGATTCGTTTAACGGGGCTATGTTGAACTCCACCAAATTTGCCATATCGGAAAAATTCTGAGTTATTTCCTCTAGTAGTTAACCGATTCATTTATACATTTAATTAAGGGTTGGTTCACTTGATCTTGTTTGTTTCCTGACTTCCCAGTCGACACTTCAAAGACTAAGCCTTAACTAAGCCCACTATGCGGCGACCGTTGACCAAGGAACCGACTGTTTGACATTCCCGATATTTCACGGTAGACGATATGGAACCGAAAATATCGATATTGTACTTATTTAAAGTATCGCTTTAAAAATATCGCCTACTCATTAATATCGGAATAAAAAAACTCGATATTTCAAATATCGTTACCAAAATTCAAACAATGTATCTCGTACATAGGCCGCTGAGGTGTAGTGGATAGAAGTGCGCAAACCACCAAAATGATAAACAGTTACCCATAAAAGTACAATCGCCGTTCAGAGTCGACATAAAACTGTGGGGACCCCCTTTGTGCCTGCCACAACATTAAGGCGCGCGCGGCAAATCAAAGGAGAAGCTCGGCCAAACACTAACATATTGTGTAAGTGCTGCCGCGGATTGAAATCCCACCACATGCAATCCCAACTACGTAGAAGTATAGGTTTATTTAAAAATTGTTTGGTCGGAGTTGTAATAGCACTTAGACTTTATATGCCAATGTGTGACTTCTGTCCAGGATTATTTATAGACAAAATAAGAATGGATGAAGTTCAATTCACATTTGCTACTAATGACAGATTGGCGCTTACAAAAAACTACTTATTTTCTTTGGTTTTTTTTTTTTTTGTTGTTAGTCGGAGATTGGGCTCTAACGTTTAAAGTATTTTGTTGCCTAAATAAAAAAAAAAAGTTAACGAAATATCTATAAGAATAATGAACTCCACAGGTTTTCTACCGAATTTCTACAATTTAGGTTTTATAGTAAGATGATATTTTATTTTAATTACAATATATTCCATTATTATATAAGAGAATTTAAGTTAGTTTTTTGCATCACATTTCGTAAATTTTCTATTTGTTAATAGCCATGACGTCTTACTTCAGTGCTTCAGTATGCTGCCACCAAGAGTTTTTAAAGCTGATAGGCCATTCATATTTTTAATAAAAAATAGCAAGAATTCTCTATTATTTGCTGGACAAAAATCAAATCAATATTGAGGGAAGGGATGCTAATGACCTTCGAAAATATTCAAAAAAAAAAAAAAAATGCAAAAACACATCTACATAAATTTAAATTAAAATACATATTTACGTAAAAAAAATTTTAAATTAAATAATAAATTGCATACAATATTTCGTATCTAATGAATAATATATTCACATTTTATTATTAATAAATAAATTTACATGTTAAATGGAAACGTATTTTTATACATAATATGTATATGTATGCAAATAATATTTTGTTTTAATTTCTAATCCTTTTTGGCAAATAAGATACAGCAGCTGAATAACATTAAATCATAATAACCTATGTACATTAGGGTGGTTTAAAAATGCATGTGAAAAGGTAAAGTCAGAATGTTTATGCTCTCATCCCCTAGGATTGTTCTATGCCGCAAAAAATATACCCCTACTTTTTATTTTGAATTAAAAAAATATTTAGAGGTCGCTCAAAGCGCTCAATGTTTTTCATTTAATTTATATAGAAAAGAAACAACTTTTCGTTGAAATGGTATAGACTCTGTTTCTCTTCAGGAAATTCCCAATATCCACTTCTTTATTTAACAATTTTTTCATAGTAGCTATATTTTTTAGGCCCCCAAAAACCCCCCAGAAAGCATAATGGGAGATAAGTAAAAAATCTTTAGTATTAAAAAATCGAAAAATATTGATTTTCAAGAATTCCATACCATTTGTACGAAAAGATGTTTTTTCCCCATATAAAATTTATGGAAAACTTTGAGCGCTTTGAGCGATCTCTAAATATTTTTTGATTCCAAAATAAAAAATTGGGGTATATTTTTTCGACATAGAACAATCCTAGGAGGTGATTCTTAATTGATTTATTCATAATAAATGCCTAAGTAAGGGCATTGTAAAAAAATAATAACAAGTTGTGGTTCTGATATTTAAGGCCCCTTAAAAAGCCCGAGCCCGGAAGCATTAGTCCCTTTTACCCCTCTCTACCGACGGGCCTAGTGACGATGATAAGGATGTGCATATTCGCATAAGCATGTTTCACATAATAATTTTAATTTACATACATGCATACATATTTATTGACAGCCTAAAAGTATTCTAACATAAATTTACTAACACATATGGATGTAACATACAATAACGGGATGCATAAACGCATTGCACATCGGGTAACGACATACATTAGTATGAAGGTGGGCATATCCTTCCATTCGGGGGGGCCATTCCATTAATGTTTAAAAACATTTAAATCTAAACCAAAATTTGCTCTTAAACATTTCAGTTTGGCGAATAATGCCCGTGAGTGGGTTCAGACGTAAGCGTTTCATTGCTGATCGCCCCTATGTGTACATCATACATTCCAGGAAACATGGAATTGTTTTTATGGGACAATTCGCTAACAACTAAAACTTGAGTTTATGGCGTGCCTTACAGATTCAATAGAACTCATTACTCTAAATATACAGAAAGTTTAATAAATATTTTAAAATTAAAAAAAAAAATTAGCTATTTGATTTTAATTCATTCGTTCAATTGAAATATAGACGTACCTAGGTAAGTATGTATGTTATTGAGATCAATTACTTTAAATACTTACAATAGTTTATTTCTTTTAATTTAAAGTTTAAATTACATATTTTACGGTGAATTTTTTAGGTTTTTTGAAAATTCTCTTCAAAAGATAAAGACGTTCATATAAGAGGCCGATCGATTAATCGACATCGACATCGGCATCGGCTACTATCGGCCAAAAGAAAAAAATTTGCCGATTCTTTTTACTTTTTCCACACTTCATTCCATGTTATTTATTTTTTACTTTTTTAATTCTTTTAAAGTTTAAAATATTAATGCTACTGAGTTCCCGCCATAAATGTATTCTCATGTTTTTTTTTTACATATGACACATTTTAGCAAGTTTCGGCTATTTCTCTTTATTTATCTTCTTTAAAGAAATATTGCTTACTATTAAAAAAAAACGTAAGTCAAAATTTCAAACTTTGTAGAGCATTTGTAAAAATTCGACGAATTTCAAACTTTTTGATCCAAGGCGGTTTAATCAGATTTTTTTGAGTACGCAGTTTTTTAAATTTCGTCCTAATAAAGTGCAAATTTTAAATAGCTAGGACTTGCCGTTGATTTTTAGCAATTTTTTGTTTACGCATGTTCTTTCAAACAAAGGATGTTCGACAATTTTTTTGTATGGAGAAAATCAGCAACACCTTCCACAAAAAATTGCCAAAAATCAATGGTAAATCCTAGCTACATAAAATTTGCACTTCGTTAAAATAAAATTGAATGGGCTACAAAACTGCATACTCAGAATGTTTAAAGAAAACGTTTCAAATTTTTACTTACATAGTTTTTTAGATAATAGGGAATTTACATGATTTAACTTTCACAGGCGATTAGTTGAATCAAAAGTTGAACGAAAGTAGGCAGCCGACCAACTTCATTGAAAGCGATTAGTTTAAAGGCCGTTTAAACCAGGCAATTGTTGCTTTCAACTAAAAATCGCCTGAAAAATCGTCTAAATTTTACACACAAAAAAATCAATATATTCGCGAATTTATGGGTAAATTATAGTAAAACTGCGTACATAGTTTCGCTCTCTGATATCAGGATTTCTTTTAAAATGACTTTAAAATTTCAAAAATTCGGTGCAATGTAGGATAACAATGAAGGTATCACATAGAAGAAACAATTCTTTAGAATTATAGAAGAATAAATTTTTTGGTGCATAAGGACGAATGGGTATGGAAAATGTCCTTTACAAATTTTGTCCTTAAATATCCTTGAAAATTTGAAATATATTTTTTGAAAAAAGTATTGTTTGAGGACTAATATGCGAAAAAGATAAAATTTATGAAAAGCGCGTTTACAATACCTACTCGTCCATTTAAACCAAAAAACATTATTGTTTTTAAATTCTACAGAATTTTCTCTCATTTAGTGCGCATATTGTTATTCTACATTGCACTGATTTTTTTAAATAATTTTTTTAATTAATCTTATCTTTAAAGTTTCAAAGTCCTTTGAAAAAATCCTGACGTCAGAGTCAAAAATTAAAAACGCAGTTTTACTATATTTGGCCCATAGTTTCGTGAGTATGTCGATTCTTTCGTGAGTTTTGAATTTTTTTGTTTTTGTCGTACGGTGTTATTAGTTAAT